CCCCCCCGGCCCCCATGGCCTCAGAATTTTGGGCTCACTTGCGAAATTGAACCTTCTATAGGTAAAGATGATATCCTGAAAGTTTCATGCTTTCTTCCAGAAATGCACGATTCTGGGAACTTTTTCCCCTTATCCGCCCTACTATAAGTAAGTGAAAAAAACTTACAATAGGTTTTGAAAGAGAATTTGGAAGCTTGGCTGACCACGTTTGCTCTCAGGAATCCTAACACCAGAACACCTACGTCATACGCCGGAAACAAACGAACGTGCCCACTTACAGGAAGAAGTTGTGCGTGACGCTGAGGAGTAGGTACCTACGCTTCGAGAACCCCCTCGTCCAGGATTTTCCTGAGGAGCGGAGCGCATCTTGACATACGTAATTAGGGATCCTTAGCAAATGGCAAGAGCCGCCCCTCACCCGAGGTATACAAATTCGGCGCGTTACCTATGCTAAATCGTGCTAAATATTACACTTATTCAAGCTATATCTGTGTAAAGAGTAATTATTGCCAATAATTTTTGCGATCTGGCAAGTCTTGATTGTGCATAGTTGACAAATGGTCAGCTGATGATGAGACTACCGTGGACTTAGGGCTGTTCAATCGGTTGTCGGTAAGCCACCGAAACAGTTCCGTTAAGAAAAAGTTACGATAAGAGCGCTCTTGCCGATAGCGATCAGAGTTTTCGGAGCTGGCGAAAATAAGCTGTTGCCAATTGTACATCTATTTTACGCGCCGCCGCGCCAGGCAATCTGATAAACCGACACACGGGGCAACAATGTATTGAGTGCGAGCTCTCAAAACACCGATAAGGCCGGCTGTTGTCGATATCATGGCCACTGTCGGTACTGCCGCCAGTTTCAATAAGAGACGATGTCGGTAGTGTTCCGGCAAGAATTCGTTTGAACACCCCTACGTGGACTAGGGGGTGGGCCCCTTGACCACTTCGCGGTCCAACCCCCGAAATTCTTCGCGCCTCAGGCAAAATCGACTCTTTTTTTATCTTAACACGTGAAATCAATGGAATAGTCCCCCACTCATTTAGCTATAGACATTCGCTCACTTATTCACAACAACTGTTAATTTTTTTTGAAAAACTCTGAAAAAACTGACAATTATTATGTTTCAGTAAACTCTTTTTGAATAGGTACAATTTTAAGTAAAATTTACGTCTATTGAAAGAAAAAGTCCACAAGAGAAACCACTAAGGCACAATTTTTTTAGAAGTTTTTTTTTTTTTTTTTTTTTTTTTTTTTTTTTAGCATTTTTAAAACAGAGATACCTTTAATAAGTGTTAAAAAACGACTGTAGATATTTTCAGGTGCTTAAACTTGTTTTCACTACATGTTCACCTCTCACACATTTTAACTTGAAAAATTACCCAACAGTCATCTTAAATTAGTAGTTTTCCAAAAGTTCTTTCTTCTTTTTTGTCAATTCGTCGCCTTCCGGCCAAAGTATCACAAGCGCCATGCGTTTCAAAATTTCCGTCGCCATTTAATTTTTTCACAGAGAAACAGGGCCGGATTAAGGGGGTGGCCACATGGGCCGAGGTCCATGGCGGCAAATCTAGAGGGCGGCAAATTTTACATTTTTTTTAAATGTGGGTATAAAAAAAAATCGGATTTAGAAAACAAAAATTACAAACGGGAATAGGCTACAAAATCTCTCATTTCCTGAGAGTATAGTAACTTCAATACAAGAGACAGCACCTTTAATTAGTCGAGTCAAGAGAGAAACCAAACACAATTTGACCTGGAACGGCGACTTAGGGAGAAATGATGAAGAGGACTTGAGATGAAAAGGAGAAGCCCTCTGCGCGGCAAACGGCATGTAACACATATTAGCGCCCACAGGACTGCATGAATACTTCACGCATTGCATCAAACGCAGTGCGGTTACTGTGGTCAGCGTGAAACGGATAGCGCCTACAAGAATGCATGAATACTTCACGCATTGCGCCAAACACAGTGCGATCAGCGTAAAACGCTTAGCGCCTACAAGACTGCGTGAATACTTCACGCATTGCGCCAAACACGGTGCGGTCGGTGCGGCGCGGCGGCGGAAGTTATCGCATGCCGTGCGATATATCGCATGCCGTTCTGACACAAAATATGGCGTCCATCGAATCACCTTAAACCAAATTTTATGTTTGTTCTTTCATAATTTTTTCGTTCATTTCTTGTGAATGGAAGGTCTTGTCCATCAGAGATAGATTTACGAAACTTGACTTTCGCGCAAAGTCCCGTGACCTTTTGCTAGTAGTGTTGACAGGGCTTTCCCAAAAAATGTGTTCAACACAAGTAAACGCGTCTTACGCACCTCTCCCCCGCTGGCACGTTCACTTGATGGTTTTTTTTGATGTTTCAAAACAAATGGAGAAGGGGGCGGAAAAATACAGGCGGCCCTTGGGCGGCAAGTAGGAAAATCCGGCCCTGGAGAGAAATTGTTCAACGAGGCTGTCCGAAAATGTCACTGAATTTTCTTTGTGCTGCCGATAAAGTTCAGTGAATTTTTCAAACAGATTCAACCTACAATTTCTATGTAAAAAATAAAATGGCGGCGAAAATTTTGAAAAGTCGCATGGCGCTTGTGACACCTACTTTGGCTGGAAGGTAACGAATTGTTGTTACCAGGGGCTGATTTCAATGAAAGGGGAAAAATCCACCTAAACCTCTTATTTTTCTCCCTATTTCATTGTGCTGAGCACTCGCTCCGATCGATTCCTATCTCACGAGCTTCAAGTGTGTGCAAAATTGCAAAGAATTATCGTAGCATGAAATTTCGCAACCACGTCGCGAATGTGCTCCAGAGCGACGAAAAGTGCCTTGCCTGAGTGTTCTATGTGTCATCGAGATAATTGCCGCCGGGAAGCGTCTCCTTAGCATTCACCAAAAACAAATAAGAGGTGTCGGAGAGACAGAGCGGTAAAATTGAACACCGCGGTTCCTTCCTTTAAGTCTCGCTTTTGCACCGGCTCCATTCATTAGAGTCCCAGCTACCGCCGGTGTACCCAGTGATTTTCCTCCGCGGTGTTCCCGGCCAGGAAGTTACAACCGAGGACGCAAGTTCACCTCAATCGGCGTCTGATTGGACGACGGAGTTACGGACCCGCAGGGCGCCGAATTCGAATCCAAGCAAGTGAGTTCTTTTTTAACTATATGTATTCATGGTGGCCACTCAAAGTAATAAAAACCCCAATTCACACTATTAAACTTTTCATCCGACATGATTGAACAAAAAGTTGGGCGCAAATTTTTTTTATTAAATTACCGTTGCAATATGATATCGTCATCAGCCTGCGCTTCGCGAAGATACAATTTCGGCTCATATCGGTCGGAAGATTTCGTTCCAACTTTTCATCCAGTTGGCGGCGCCAAAGAAAGTTGGATGGAAAGTTGATTGTGAAGTCGCATGCAAGTTTCCGTCCAATTTTTCATCAAATTGTCGTTTCCTCTCGTCAGTATCATACTATCCAATTTTTCATTCGACATGCTTGAACGAAAAGTTGGATGAAAAGTTTGATAGTGTGGATTAGGCTGAAGAAGAGGGACGTTAGCTCTCGAATTTGAAATGACATTAACTGGACCGCGTTTAACAGAGAGGAACCAAGGCACATCAGCTATTGCCAAATTTAACTGGGTAATTTAATGGTTTACGAGGGAACGTTTGTGCGGCTTCCTTTAAAAATTTCAAGGAATTTGCTTCGTACTATGGAGAAAATTCACTGAAATTTGCAAGAAAATCTGCACAACCGTTTAAATGTAAAAAATTAAAGTGCCCAATAAAATTTGACAATAGCTTATGCGGCTTGGTTCCTTTCTGTTTAACGTGGTCCAACTGTGTGACGAAGTTAGGCAAGAGGGCCCCAAATGTGGTAACTGAAATTGTTCAGTATAGCGAGAAACCTGGTTGAGCTTTTCAAAAGTCCACTTTTAGTTTTTGATGCTAAAAGCTCACTTTTACGTTTAAGAACATCAGGCTTTCCGAGCCATACCTTGCCACGCCATGTTATAAACTTTAAAAACCCCTCTCTCTTTCCGCCTCCACATCCTATGCCATGGGGATTACAGATGGAGTCCATAGATCTAAAAGTAATAACCTTTGAATTTAGTTTTCAGCACGTTAGTATCTTCCATATCGACAGTGTAAGTCGGCAATCACATAACTCGGTTTGCGACGTCGCAGACTTCCTGTCATACCTTATTTTTTAAACGGAAAACTACACAACGGCAATTATCTAAAACTGCCGTGATTTTTCTTCTCTGTGTGAGGAAAATTCTGCAAAAACTTCAAGGAATGATGTCAATTTGTTCTCCTTTAAAAAAATAACATGGCATCGGAGATTTTCAGACACCGCAAACGAGTTATGTGATTGCCAACTTACACCGTCGTTATTCATTTTTCAAAGTATACTCGTAAATAAAAAATAATACTGGTTGAACTGTAAAGAAGTGTACCTACTTTAATTTACCATGCTTCAAAGTTTTTTTTTAGTTTATTTTTTAAACCATAAACTTTTTCATCTTCTATCATCTCCAAAAAATCTGTCATATGCCCTCGCAGTATAAAAGTGAGGTAAATCTTCGGTCAAACTTTTAAAAACTGAAGTTTGAGTGTTTTCCATTGAAAATCAATGAATAAAGTGAAGTCGGAAATTTTGAAACGTTCCAAGTAAAATGTAGGGTGTGAGTTTCCAAAGCTTAAATAATAGACACTCGCGTCTCACTCATCAAGCAACTGTAATTATCAATCATGTTTAAGTGCAATTAAAGTAGCGAACGAGGGGGATACCAAGTTCGCCTTCACATCGGTGATTATGCAATTTTAGCTACTTAGGAGCTAATATAGTCGTATCACGAATTTGAACCTAACTTGACCTAATTTTTTTATTTACGCTTTGAAGAAACATTAGAAAAGGGCTGATTTAACCTAATCGGTCACGGCTAATATAAAACTCTGATCAAGTACTAACTTTAATATGGCTGATCTAAGTTGATTGTGACCGCAACCGCAAGATTTTTTGTGTTTGTGTGGAGTCCAACGCCTATAAATCTCATCATTATGGAACTTAAATTTGTTGGAAGTAGTCAAATTCCAATCAATGACCCAATGTCCTATTAGTCCTCATGTTCCCATGCTTACAGTGGACGCTTTATTTTATTTTTTTCTTGTTTCTGTTCTTTTCTTTTCTTTTTTTTTTTTTGCTGCCGCGTGAGCTCTCCTGTCTCTTCTTTTTTTTAACTTGACAAGAATTGTATTTATATTGCGTTCATAAGAAGCCGTTCTTTGTAATACAATTTGTCTTCTTCTTCTTCTTTTTTTTTAACCATTTGCATACATCAGCATTCGAAATGGACTTTTTCATTTATATATTCACTAATGTATCAATTAGTTGTTTTTATACTTTTCCATCTTTTATTTGATTTAATTTTAATTTTATTGCCGGGGAAACCGATGTATGTTTGCTAGTTCCCTCTTATAACTCAGAGTTTGTTGAGATTTTTGGAATGCTTACCTGTCGACCCCAAAAAACATGAACAATCGCAAAGTAGATGATTTCATAGATTACGGGTGCATTTCTCCCAATTATTTTGAAGAGAACACAGTACTTTCTCTCAAATTTATGCACGGTTTGCACAAAATGATATAACCTGGCCCGTGCACCACAATGCCACATGGATCTCACCAAAAAGTATTTCGACCAATGACCACATTTCGCCACAAGAAACCGCTATTTCCGGCTCAATTTAGAAACAACTTTTATGCAATTAGTTTTTACATGCAGAAAGGCGCTTTTATAGATGAGTTAAAAGTAGTGGCTCCTTATTGCAAAATGTAGTCAATTTATCCCCTACGTAAACGGTAATTCGCTCTCAAGTGGTTTTTTTGAAAGCTTGAACATTTGCATTCAGGGAGGAGCTAATCGCCACCTCGAGTTATATTCAAACGACTCATGTACGATCAAAACAGACCATCATGAATAATTTGGTCTCAGTTATGATTGAACTTGACCTTGAACTGCTCGCAGTCGTTACACCTACCTTTCAAATAGTCAAGCTCTTTGATTTTGTCTATCCCTCCTCCTATTTCCTGTCCCCTTCTTCTTGAGTCTCAATAAGTCCTTCATTTTCCGCGTTTTATTTCGCGGACGAATTCCGTTTAAGTCGATTACATTTCTACCACGGCTAATAGTTCCAATTTTGTTTTCATGAGCGTTTGAAATATTATGGCTAATTTTTTAACTGTGCAGTTACATCAGTGCTGCTGCTGATAGATAAATCGACACCCATTAAGTCAGGTAATGACTCAATGAAGCCATAATCTAATATTATTACATCATTTTTGATCATTCTCCCACGCAAAGTATTTTTGATCGTATGAGCTCACGTTAAGCATGAGGCTGGACTGAAGGGTACCTACTCCTCCTCTTCCTTCGCCCGATTTCTTGATTTCTGGAAGTGACCAAACAGAACTAAGTGGTGAAATTGAGAAAACAATATATTTTGACTGCGGCTCGCTTTTGTTTTTGTTCCAAAATAACCACTCCTGCGTTAAATTTTTAAGTCAAAATAATGGAAAATTTTGCTCAAGTTTTTCAGGGAATATTCTTAAGAGCGCTATAAAAATTATATGAAATTTGAGGCGATGGTGATGATATCTCTCGAGCAGATATTTCTTGAAATTTTAAATGTGAACGGAAATGTGCAACGTTGCAAGCAGAGATGTAAATGTTTGTAAGTTCACCATCTAGAGGTGGATCTAGGAGGTCAATGACACTGATTCCTGTCCATTTAAACTGTACTGAATAATCGATTCTTGTCGGAGCAACTGGCCTTTCCAAGAATCGATATATTTCCATGGGTTCGAAAGAAACAGAGACAATATTGCCAATCTGCCGCCGTTTTCACCATCGATATATTTGTAACCTCTTCTGAAAGTATGATGGATGGAGAGGAAAATTAAGGGCCCTGGCGACCTTTTTGAAAAAACTGAAAAATTAACGATTTCAGGTAAAGCTATAGTCTTATTGCATATTCCGTGAAAAATTCGCTTCCAAACTCTATCTAAAAGTCAGTTTGAATTTTCCTTCCGCCTTAAGGATCCATGTGATATCGAAACTTCAAAAACATATTTCTCGAAATAGGAAAAACTGCACTCATGCGCCTTGTCCTCCAAGCCCCTTGATTGAAGGAGAAAGACCCAGAAGAGGAATACTTGCGCCGTAAGGTTGCTTAGTATTGTCTGAAAATTTGTTGCCTGTCTTCCTTTAAAAAACAAGTCCTGAGAATTTTTAATTTGTGATTTAACTTAAATTCCCTAAAATTTTTGCCTTAGATCATGCACCCGTTAATCATTAAAGACATTAGTAGTCGGGGAAAACTTTGAAACGTCTCAATGTAATTCAGTCCCTATGGCTCTCACCCATTCAGTTGACATTTCTGTAGAAAGTCTTCCACGAAATTTGAGTTTTAACACGCTTGCAAATTCAGAAAAATTAGACTCTTAAAATTTTCTAATGGATCACGGCTGACTCAGCTTTGAGTTTTGCCTTCACTTACGTTGAAACTTCTCTGTATGCAACTATATAATCTGTCGTGGGGTCTAGGGCATGCTTTTATTGCGTCAATATTTGTTTAATTGATTTTAACATCCAGCCTTATCCCATTTTTACCCACGAATCGATTACCCTCCTCGTTCTCATAATCACGATTAGCACGCTTGAGAGGTGTCGGGAAGGATGTCATGAAATTACGTGCATTTAATTTTGTCACTTAAACGCGCTCGGTTCCTCATTCTATATAATTTTATTCAATCCAATCCCATGTAGATCTTGAAATATCGCTTTAATAAATCGGAGATTTATGATTTTTATGATTACTATGGGTGTGTTAAATCGTAAGCGATTGCATGCATTTATCTCACTCATTCGATCCAATAAACTAGTTTTCAGAATTTCAATTCAAACCCATGGCTGAAAATAGAAAATCGTGTAATATGATTATTTTTAAAATAAATGAGTAAAAAAACATTAAATAAAATTGCAAGAAATAATAGCAAGTTGAAAGTTGCTTTCTTCTTGAAATATAAACTGCAAGAAGAAATTTGCAACGTTGCATTTTTAGATACGCGCTTACAGA